ACCTTAGGATCAGGGTCTTATCAATTTCATCACCAGAATAATGTGCTCAGTCATTATTTTAGCAAATTGTGGGCTTGACCCCAATAGATGCTACTTGCAGCTATATTTATTATTTTATTTATTTAGTTTTATGGATGTTTATCATTTTTAACTAGGAAACAAGACAAACATACATTTGTGTGCCATTCTAATATACAATAGATTACTAAAAATAAGGTAAGCATGTGATGTTTTAGGCTCTTGGGAACGCATGAAATGTGGAAAATTTTGATATTTCAAACATGAGGCTTTCTGATGAGCTGTCCAGGTGACAGGGTAGATGAACGTAGGGCAAAGCATGGGATGGACAGCATTGTGCAATCCACCTGACGGCTTTAGTGATGAAAGAAGGTGAGGAAATCTCCAGCAGGGCTCCAGACTAAAAAATCAATTAAGGAGCCAATGGCACCTATAAGAAACAAAATTAGGCGCCAAATTATTATTTTTTTAAGTGCCACAGAATAAACACGTTTTATTTATTAACACATTTCAGTCATAGATGTCCTGGGGACTAAGGTTCACTTAAAGTGGAAACTAAACATCTTTTCCAACTTGAGAACTGTGTACACAGAATCTGTGCCAATATCACAGACTATAATTATGTCAGCATCACTTGGCCATTGAGTGTAGTTTGGGCTCCTCCTCAATGCATCCTATAAATGCTGTCATATGCACCCAGCCAGTCTGTTTTTCTTCATTAGTAACATGCAGTTATATAGGAGATGTTGAATTTTACCTTTAGCTCCTTGCATTCTTTTTTATCATGTAGACAACAGGTTAAGTAAAAATATGAATATGCAATATAGCGCATATATTTAGTAAAATGCTCCTCATTATAGTTATTTTTTCTAGCTGACTAATGAGCTTATGGATGCCAAATGGTTATTCTGAGGTAAATGATTGTTACACGGCATTGTTTACAAGCTTTACGATTAGTTTTCCGCAGTTTGAAACACTGAATGAGCGATTACATGACACATTTCAGTAAGTTGTACTGTAGGCTATCTTATAATGTACCTTTTGATGTTCATTCATGTTTATTTCGTACTACAGTAGTAAAGAGAAGAATCTGATGGGTTCACGTGCCGCTTGAATTGAGGCGATAAATCGATCGCTCATGCCGCATTAAAGAGCGCCAAAATGGTATTTATTGTTTGAATTTCGTTTCGTCGAATTTGGCATAATTTTAAAGCTGATGCTTTGTTTATTAAAATGTAACAAAGCAGAAAGCTTATAGTGATTATTGGACGGCAAGTGCGCTACAAATATGAAATTCATGCATTAACAGAACACAGCATATGGACTAAAGATCTTGTTTACAAGAAGCCATATTAGTATCGATTATAAACGAGAATTGATGTTGCTAATATCCACACAGATGATAGCTTTACCTGTTGTAGTTTGTTCAAGTTGTGCATGAAATAGACACTGCTTTTCTGCATGCTTTACTTTGCACGTCTCCGTCATTTTCAATCTGCCACAACTGTTTTTCCACTAAATCTTTGTGCATCGTCTCTGTTTATTACGTCAACGTAACAAAATATGAGATTACAAAACAACCAGGAAAAAAGGGCATACATGGAAAATTTTAAATCATAACACGTAAATTTATATAGTTGCCAGTGGCGATCTCAGCAAAACCTTGCAAATTAATATTTTTGGTCAGAAATGCGACCATTTTAGACGCAGTCTGGAGCCCTGTCCAGAGGGTTTGTTGTATATTTAATGTGGTTATATTCCAGCGTCAGCTCCTGCCGAACTCCAACCAGCTCAATGTCATGTCATTGGTGCCGCATTGATCGATATATGTATGTGCGATTGAGCCAAAAAGTGTTTTACAATGGTTGAATGTGAAGTGCAGGATTGGCCTGAGACAGAGCTTTCACCCTCTTTCAGCCTGCTTTGTGAACGACACCTATTGTTAAAAGCAGATAATAAAGTTGAAAACTCTTACAGGAGAGTCTGTGTTTCATCACCGTTAGTGATGTTAAGTACTACTGATATTGAAAGTCACCTTATGAGCTTTTTTTCTGCACACAAATTGCCTGTGGATAGCATATTCTATTCCCCAAGGGGATAATAATAGTGTTATGTATTGCATTATCATCAAATTAACAAGTACCATCATCTCTAGAGACCATCTATGATGCTGAAAATGTACAGATAGCAGATTACAAATACATTGCTCTGTGTGTGTGTGTGTGTGTGTGTGTGTGTGTGTGTGTTTTCTTTAAATCTATTTGTGTGTAAAACCTTGTACAATTCTGTGAGAGTCCTATACAACATAAACATAGTGAAGTGATGCAACAGGCAATAACAGGTTGAAGCAAAAGCAAATATAATGGCTCAGTTCAACCGCCGTATGACCCCAGTGCTTTGTAAATTCTACAAAAGCCCTGCATAAAACCATGAGGCATAAAAAAATCTTTTAAAAAATCTTAATTGCTTTCCAGAGAAAACATTTGCTACCACATTTCCAATTAAAATACATCCACAAACCACGGAGAATATATTTTTAAATGTAGCCTGTGGGTTGGTTTGCTTCATGGTCCTTGCATCATGGACACCCCCAATTTAAATAGAACCATTTTCAGTCCAAGCCATTCCTACTTGTATTTACGAAAATTTGTTGTGTTTTTATGTAAAATGTTTTATACAAACATTATAACAAATTAATAATAATAACAATAAAACAAATGTAAAAATGATTATAAAATAATTAAATAAAAGGATGTAATTGAAACCCATATTCATAATTATTATATAAAATATGCTGAAGACATGTCATTGTAATGGGATGTTGACAAAAAACAATATAAGACGTGGTAACACTTTATTTTAAGGTGTCCTTGTTACACGTTACATGTACTTACTATTATAATAACAATTAATTATGCATAATTACATGCAGGTAACCCTATAAGCCAAACCCTAATCTTAACCCTAACCTTATAAGTAATGCATAATTACACTGTAACAAGGACACCTTAAAATAAAGTGTAACTCAAGAGGTTTTACATTATTACTGTATTATTATGTAATTTATTGTGAAATTCTATAACTGATTCATTTAATTTGAGTTTTCAAATTGCTGCTCTTTTACACCTCTAGTTGTGTGCTTAGGTGAGGTCTCCCAGTGAATAATCACATGTTTGGTTGTGCTCATTAACAAGCATTTGAAAAGCAAAATGCAGTGGTGTGTTTTGCATGAATATAAGTGAATTAACTCATTTGATTTGATTCGGCGTGCGGCTCAACGTCAATATAAAGTGACATAATGAAGTGCAGAATGTCTGCCAATGCCCTTGAGGTGTTCAGGAAAGCTGCTCTCTTTAAACCTATTTCCTTTATCTGTGCACGCTCCTCTGTACGGGGAGCAGCATTTCAAAATACATGCTTTATTTGATATGCTAATACATGACATGCTGTTCAATTGATTTGTTCCTGATGAAAGCACAATAAAAATGGATTTGTGGAGCAAGATGGTGAACCTTCCTTTCTGTCTGTGCAGGAAGAGCACTCCCTTCACATTACAGTTGTTTGCTGATATAAAGAGGTGTTTAATCACTGTCCATTCAACATGCTAACAAGCTAACGTTAAGCTGTGTCCAAAAATAAGGCAGCTGCCTCGCTTGCGTTTTTGTATAAAGATTCCTCCCAAGGAAATTCAAGTGAGCTTTAGACATACCCAAGCAAGTATTTTCTGAGTGCAACACTTATTTCTTGGAGGAAATGGAATCAACCACTTCATTAGATGGCACCAACCGCTGACTTGCATGCATTGTGGGATATCACAGGCAGTGAAGGATACATTATGCTGCCTTCAAAAGCCAACCAGATGAAGGCAATGCAAATATATGGATTCGGACATGCCTTCCTACTTTCCTAGCTTTCAGACACTGCTAGCAAATTGAGATCACATGCAATCGGTCTGTAAATAAAGTTGATATTGCCCATCATTCATTGGTTCCTTGATCGTAGAGAAAAATTATCTTCAATTGTAATGTGCTTCTGCTTTATTTGATCACCATGTTGATCATCTGCCACGATCAGTATTGCACATTCTATAAAATATGGCTTAATTTACACATGGTGTAGCAATATTGCAGCACATTTGGTGCCTGCTTAAACTGAATTGCAGGTGGTTATTGAATAAGATGCAGGGGTTTGCACCGAAATGCTACATGTTAAAGTCGCACAGCTGTTTAGTGAATCCCCTCTTATCTCTCTCGCCCACTCTCCCCTTCTCTATTTCAGTCTCTCGTTTTCTCTCACATACGCACGAACACACAGTGCCACACATGTTAACACCAGCCCTGCAATTTGAGGCCTCCCCTCTAGAGATGTCAGGTTGTCAAAGCTAACCATCCAGTGTCGGAGTGAAGACAGGAAGCAATCCAGATAAAACATTTAACCTCTATGTATCAGAGAATTCATTTCCCTGTTAGCAGCGCTAATAATGGCTAACAACATGTAGATTAACATTGTCTCAGTCATGTTTCTCTATCCCCTGCTAGAAAATCTGGTTAGGAATTCTGGTTAATAATAATACGCAATAATGTTTTTGATCACAAATATTGGTCAACACACTATCAATACAGCATTCTACATTAGCTTTTATTATTTTATAATGGAGCATGTTTTTCTTGAGATGTCCTTCAGAAGAAAAATGCTGCCATTTCTACTATTCTTCATGTTTTATTTCTTTATGATTAACGTTTGTTCAAATTACAAAAAAAAAAGAAATTATGAAGAAAATGTGAGTGGCTGTGTTTGCAGTTGCCAAAGTATTTGGAGTATTTTAGTGCATTGCTATGCACTTGCAGGGGTTTTACAGTCCAAAGAGATCCCCCCTCCATGATATTCTGGTTTCAAGATATGCCTCATTCAAATTGAGTCCATGGGATTTTTTCACTTATTTTTTCACATCTACCAGGCAAAAAGTCAGATTGCACCGAAAAATGAACAGTACACCTCTCCTCAGCGAGTTGCACGGTGTGAGGAATCATTCAAGTCCATTGCAAAAACAGTGTGAGACCAATTATGAAGTTAAAATGCATGAGTTTGTTTGACGAGAGCCTTAAGAAGGATCCTCAGGTGCTGCAGGTTCTCTTAATGCTATGTGTCTTCACTCTGTTACAGGGTTCCTCAGCACAGGAGACCAGGCTGCTAAGGGAAATTATGGGCTTTTAGATCAGATCCAGGCTCTACGTTGGATAAGCGAGAACATTGGCTATTTCGGCGGTGATTCCAATCGCATCACTGTTTTTGGATCAGGAATTGGTGCCTCTTGTGTGAGCCTTCTGACCCTGTCCCATCATTCTGAAGGTAGGAGAACATTTAATTCCACAGAAGAATAAGAAAAGTCCTTGTCAAATTAAATTCCCTTTAATACTCAACTTTGCATAATGATCTTTGCGTCATAATGTAAAGGATTGGGAAAAAGTAATATTGCAAGTTAAATACTTGAGCTCTTTCCATGGATAACTGTCAATTAGCATGAAAAATCATGTTGATTTATCACTTAGTTTGTAAAAATGAATGAAAAAATCCATTAACAGTAAAAAATTACTAATATATTGCCATATCATTGCCAGTATATAGTTAGATTGTTATAAATACTTATTTTAAAAAGTATTGACAGTAGACATTCATAGATGAATTATCACAATGTAATTAATAACTATAATATAAAGAATAGCAATATAAAGAAGAACTATAGCACTTTAACCCATATCACAAACATGTAAACTCAATAAACCTAGTTACTTGTGCAGAAGGAAACAGACAGGGACATTGACGAGACATGATCTAACAGTCCATTTACATAGAAATAACTGCATCCACTGTACTCACAAGAGTAACCAGAAGTAATTTTTTTTCATTTATTCTATTTTGCAAACTAAGGCAAGAGTCGAAATTACCTTGTAATCAACATGTGCTGTCAAAAAGTTATATTTAATTCCTATGATTGTTATTAGTGGTTCCACACAACCAGTATGCACAAAAGTGTTGTCTTTACTTATTTATGGTTGACTAAACTGTTTAGCATGTGTGCTATAAATTCATGGTGGACAATATAAATGAAAGACGTGTTGCAGATGTGCTGATTTTCTGTCGACAACCTGTTTGTGATTTTGCATAAAACACCAAAGTGCTTTTAATTGATGCCAGCGATGATGGACGTTAATCCAGCAGTGAATTGCAAACAAAGTGTGTAAATTAACATGCATAGTTATGTATTTATGCAGTGATAAAGAGACCGCAGTTTTCCACAGGACTTACCAAGGTTACATTTATCATCTTAGCAGTTGTACATTATTGTGGCAGACTCTAGGTGTAAATCTAAAACACATTCCCAAGAGGCTTTTCTGAGATGTGAGACATAATTATAGAAATTTCAATTGGCTTTGTGGGTTTCCATGTCATCCAATTGACTGTTGAACTTAAATATGTTTAAAAAGACATAACATTTAAAAAGACAAATGTTAACTGTAACTATCAACTCCTTTGAGATAAATATGTATATAATATAAAAGCAACACATACATTATAAAGATTCTAGATATATTTGAAGCTGTGACATTGTACATGTTGAGATACAAGCAGTTGGTATTGTATCAGGCAGGCTGTGGGAGACTATTGTAAAGGAAGCCACTGTAATTCTTTGACTGTCATGATAGATAGATAGATAGATAGATAGATAGATTCTCTATTAAGCGGTCATTGAATTTTCGGATAAGGTCTTCGGCTGTTTCTACACTTTGCTTCCTGCCATGAATAATTTTGCATGTTTGTTTGCATTCTCCAGATTGCATCAATGCCTTATTAATTGCTTTGATTTACTTTGGTTTTGGATAGATTTATTTTACCATAAATGCATTTTCTATTCAAATATTCCATATTGCTAAGCTTCATGTAGCATGTTATTATACGGTCAACCGCCTCATTCCTTTCTCAGTAAATTGGATATTACTGATGCTGATGTTTCCCCTGAATAGAAGTATTTTCCCTACTTGGTTTGATGAGATAAAAAAGCAGTATTGGGGGAGCTGGGTTTTACTGACAGCCTCTATAAACTATCAATATCCTTGAAAATTGAAACAGGAATCCTGCTATTGAAGAAAGGGGTACTCACCACAACTACCACCAATATCAATCAGCTAGCTCTGCAATAGTTCTCAAAGTTGTGATTTTAGCCATCACAGCAAAGCAAAGGAAAAGGATTACCAACTGATAATGGCGAGGCTTAGAGGAATGCAGCAGTAAAGAACCCAACTACTCTTTTATAAAAACTAGATGTCATCACATCTTGCAGATTGAGAAATATAGTTGCTATATAGTGCTTATATTAGCACAAGTACTACAGTTTAAACTAAGGCATGATATTTGGGAGACAACTGAAGAAACATGTTCAACGTAGTGCTTGTGTACCATTAGTGAGAAAGATGTCCAGGCCAGGTCCATGTACACTCTGGAGATGATGTTTGAAGGGTTTCAACTTATTTTTGGTTGAGAAGCTGGTAAGCAAATGTAAGTAACAGAGTGATTTTTAACATTTGTGATTGATAACCTGGTAAGCAAATGTATGTAACAATGTGTTAATCTGCAAATGAACACATCATTGTACCTAATTTTAAGAAACATCTTAGCAACATTCTCACAGATCATGCAAAAGAAAAAATAAAATTTCTCTGCAAGATAGGTGTGCTGTCTGAAAATTGCTTGTTCTGCTAATTGGCAGAAGACACAATTGCCCTTTGAGTAAAGGAAAGAACATCTTCTGATGAAACGGATTTCATGCACTGTCCAGCTATTGGACAGGACAAATCTGAAGCTGAAATCCCACTGCAGGTGAATCCCACCCACAGTGCAAGAGCCATTCACATTTCCCCTGACCCTGATCCCCGGGAAAACACAATTACCTGAATCCCATCACCTGAAATACCAAAGGGCCGGTTTAAAAAAACACTTCAGCTCTATCCTCGCAGTGCAGTGCAGTGTGTGAGATTGAGTGTGATGCTTGTTTGGCAAGTGTGTGTTTGTGGTGGTGTTAATGAGACCACTGTGACCTGTCTCCTCCTTGCAGTCTGGCTCATCATCTTATGGGGCCTGCTGCTCCCACATGGAGCTCGCCCTGTCTGGGCGTGTGGCAGGCCAGGAAAGAGGGCTTCATCTATCAGCCCACTCCACCGTAGGAGTTAGCCTGCCCGCCAGGCCCCCGCTGTGGGATGGATTGCAGATGCATCCCACTGTCCTCCTCATCATCAAGTTTAAGGGCAATCATCTGCCTCGCTTCTTTGATGGAAATGGGGACCTTACGTAAAGTTAGAAAACATAGGTGGTTTGGTTTTCGTTTATGTTTTCGTTTATGTTTCTTTTATTTTTTATGTTTTTGTATATTTAGTTTTTGTGACATAAGGCTAGGATGTACTCACATGATCTTACATCCATCTGTAAGTATTCCCATAATGCGATTTGCACAAGTGGAACATGATTCTAGATCAACATCCTTTGTTGCACAGCACTCCTATTAAATGTCATTGCCCCTTGATCATCTGGTAGGTTTAGGTCAGGGTGACCGATCTTGCTCCTGGACGGCCACCTGGTTTAATGTTTTTGCTAAAGCCAACCAACCATCTATATCTTCTGATTTTAGAATTAGGGCCAGGTCCTGCAATAACATACCTATCAACCAGTTATTACAGTACATCTGATTTCAGGGGTAGGGGTGCGGGAGAGAAGTCCAATCCTGCTCCTAGAGAGTCAGATTTCAGCTTCAACCCCAATTGAGCAAACCCTGTTGGAGCAAATTGAAGCTAAATTCTGCAGGAGAACTCTCTGTAGGAAGTTGGCTCTCCAGGAGCAGGGCTGGACACAGGGGCGCCGAAACAGGGAGAAGATTAGGACAATTACAACCTCTGACCTCTGAAACCTTTTGAATGTGATTTATACCGAGGGGGGCCCAATATGCTGATCAGGGGGCCCAGAAACCATAGTGATGCCCTGGCTGAACAACGCTGGTTTAAAGTTATTGCTAGGACCTTGCACAACACCAGTCTGTGCCTTTTAAATAATAGGTTTAGGGTCTGAGACTGTAACCTTTTTTTTCAACCAACTACTGTAGTGCCATCTAATATCAAGGGAGGGCTAGGGCCAGGGCTAGGGAAGGACTGTTAATGTTGATATAAATGTTATTGCTGGACCAATAAAGTGTGTCCTACTGTATCTTAGCAAATCCCATTGTTCAGAAAAGAATTCAGATGTCCGGTGAAGATTCCAGATGTTCTTTTTTGAGCTCTTAACAATGCATTTCAGCTTTTTCTTTGCCTGTTTTTCTAACATCAGTGCTCAGGGAGGGAGAGCAAACAAGAGGCAGGGAGAATGATGGCGAGCATGAGAAGTCCTAAGTCAAGGACATTAGCCAATATTGTGTGTTATTATCTATTTGGCATAAGGCTGGCTCTAATTGAACATGCAGATTTGCCTTTTTCTTTCTCTCTCCTAATAATAATTATGATGTCAAATGAGAGATGGCTTCACTGGGCTGCTGCTGGAATATTAAACAACTGGAGCTTTGGCTGTGTGTGTGTATTGGAAGGATGTTGGAGGCCTACCAGCAGTGTTACTGAAGGTCATCGGGAGTCCTTTTTTTCTATTCCTGTAACTAATCAGCCTAAAAGCTCTGCTCGCGAGGACATGCTCCCCTTTTAATGGAACGTCTCATACATTAAAGGGGACTCGTGAGGGGCTACGTTGGAGGATTCCTTCTACCCATGTCAGCTCTCATTTTTATGAAGACTTTTGGGTTATTGAGGACCATAAATATGCACACTCAAATTGTGTTAGTTTTATTAGCGGGATGGTATTCATGGTGGTAACTTTGTGATGTACGACTTTCAAGCGTTAACACTTTGAGCTACAAAACTGTGCATGAGTAAGAGGCACTTGAGTCTAATGAACTAAATGAGATGATGGTTTAACAAAGACTGCATTGAACAAATACACATCAGAAGTAGTGACACAACATGTTAGCGATATTTTCTGTGACATTACGGTTAAAATAATGCACTGATAAGTCCTAGCCAGTCGACATGTGAAGTCATAGCTTTTCTTTATGACTGAATATGGTCCGGTTTTAATTGAAGCCATAATATTGCTATACTTAAAGTGACAGTGTCTCATATAGTGAATAAAGGCTCTGAAAAGGAATCAATCTACTTTATGACTTTAATTCAAGTTAAGCAAGTCCATTTGCTTTTAGTGTACTGAAAGCACTTAGTTTAACTGAACATCATTCTCTGGCTATCCTCAATCACTCCACACAA